GGTAACTCCCACCCTTCTCTTAACACTTGCAACAGACTTCTAGGGCGGTGCCCCAACACCAATTCAAACAGTGAATACTTCAGGGAATCAGAAGGGGTATCTCATAGCACAAATAATTTCAGTGGGACTAGTAAATCCCATTTTCGGGGATCCCCTTGGAGACACCGGCACAATACTCTCTTTAGGGTTCCATTTAATCTCTCCACTAGCCCATTCGTTTGAGGATGATAAATGGAGGTGTGCAATTGTCGGATTTTCAACGTCTGACATACTGTCTTTAATACACCAGACATAAAGTTGCGCCCTTGATCTGTCAGAATCTCTTCTGGAATGCCCATTTGGGCAATCCATTTTATTAATTCCTCCGCTATCTTTGGCGCTGTCACCGTCCGTAGAGGTATTGCCTCGGGGTAACGTGTGGCGTAATCGATTATTACCAGCAAATACTGGTTACCAGCGCTACTACGCGGCAAAGGACTTACCACGTCCATGGCTATTCGCGCAAACGGAGATCCTATTACCGGCAAGGGTTGTAGCGGAGCGCGTGGTGGCCGATCCTCCCTGGTTTTTTGGCACTCGGGACACGCAGCGCACCATTTTGCTACATCTTCTCCCAAACCAGGCCAGAAAAACCACCGGGAGATCCTGGCCCTTGTTTTATCCCTTCCCATGCACCCCCCAGCCGGGGTGGCATGCGTCAGTTGCCAAATGACACCCCGGAAACATGTCCGGACTACTAGTTGGGTCTGCTCCGTCTCTCCCTCCTGACCCGGTTGTATGTGATAAAGGAGGTTGTTTCTCACCTCAAACCGCGGTCGTCTCAGTGTCATTCCGGCATCTGATGTCGAGGCGTCATCCAGGGGGGCAAACCATAACTCTCGTAGTTCCTCATCTTCTGCTTGGGCTTCCTTAAACTGCCAGCTACTGGCCATTGCCTGAAGATCCACCATCCCGGGCTCATCATCACTTTCTACCCTTTCCTCTGACTCTCCTACCCAGCCATCCTTATTGTTTAGCCTTCTCTTAGCTGCCTCTCTATCTCCAATTCTTTCTAAGGTGTCATACAGTGGGGGCCAATCACACCCCAGCAACATTTCACAGGCCAATCGGGGCGCCAATCCAACCAACAATTCCCCTTGATGCTCCATTACTTGTAAGGAAACCCACTGACGTGGGAATTGTTGCATTTCTCCATGCAAGCATGAGATCCTCACCGGGGTAGCCCGACGCCCAGGGCAAGGCGTAACCAACTCAGCCCTCACTAAGGACTGTGCACACCCCGAGTCTAACACCGCCCACACCTTGCGGCTGCTCACTTGTGCCCGCACCGTAGGTCGCTCCCATACGGCATCTTCCCTACCGTACCCAAAGCTGCAATCCATTGGTTCCCCAGCCTGGGCATCCCTGCGGCTCTCATTTCCTCCACAGTTCCACTGCTCCGGTTGCCACCTCTCTTGGGTACGGTTCGGGCACTCCCTGGCGAAATGACCCATCTTCCCGCAATGGAAGCAGACGATATCTCGTACTGGGCCTCGGATGGGTTCCTTCTTCCTCTCCACCTCTTTTACTACCCCTGCCAAGGGGTTTGGAGTGCGCCTTTCTTTTGGGAAGAATCCCTCTGAGGCCGCGAAGGCCTCCGCTAATTTTAGAGCTTCCTCGCAAGATGAAGGTGAGTGCTGTTGTACCCACTGCTGTGTACGCCCCTCTAAATCATCGAGGAATTGTTCCAGGATTATCTGGTCCACCATGGCCTCTCTGTCGCACGTGGCCAGATCAATCCATTTTCCAAATAGGTCAGACAACAATTGTAACAAGAGACGTGGGTGTCTTTCTTCTGCCCCCTTCTTGGCCCAAAACTTGCGCCAGTAATGCTCAGGATTAATTTCAAGCCGGTATAGCATGGCTGTTTTAACTGCATCGTAATCCCGCGCCTCATCTCTCAGGTCAATATGCCTCTTGGGCCTTTCCGACTACGAGAGCCCCTAACTGGCCTGCCCAAAAAACTTTATCCAAGCCCGTGAAGATGGCGTGGCGTTCAAAGGCCTCAATATAGGCCTCAGGGTCATCTTCACTAGTCATTTGCAGCGTGTTAAAGGCCGAGACGCCCGGTCTGATCCATTCTCGTTGTCGTTGTAACAACTGCTGTTGCATGTCTACGATCTGTGTAAGCAACTGTAAATTCTGGCTTAAGGCATCGGGAGTGTTAGCGATAGGTGGCTGCATCATCAATTGTTCTTCTGGACCCGGCCCCTCCTGCAGGTTCCCGGCCAATGCACCACTTTGTAGCCGCCGGGCCTCATACATGAGTTGGATCTTTCAGTGGTTGGGGCTTCGTGTAGCGCGGTTACCCACGTCAGGTACCTACATCGTAGATGTCTTCTGCGAGGCTCCTCCTCCCCTGCACCTCACCCTTACCCAGCCCAGCGGATCTTGGCTGTTTCTGTGGGTGCTCGAATAATTCCCCAGATACACAAATACCAAGCTCACCCCTCGCTCCCACTCCCTGATGTCATGCACTTAGCCCCTTCTAACCTGGGGAAACACAAAAAGGAACCTTTCAAAACTCAACTAAAACTCTATGGGCCTAATGAGAGGCATAACCCTGCCCCTATTAGGCTTCCTAGTGGAGCCAGTAGCCTCTCTGCTCCTCTGCTTAACAACCGGGTCACACGCTCGGTTCAGTAGCCCTCTCTTTCTATGTCTGATTCCTGCCACTCCTTGCCCAGTATCTCCCAGGGCGACCCTCTCTCCGGGTCTTCCCCGGACCGCAGCCTTCTCTCTGGGTTCTCCTCGGACCGCAGCCCTCTCTCCGGATCTTCCTCGGTCCACTGACCCCTCCGTGCCGCCGAGGCTCTTACAGCTCTCTCTCTCTCAGCTCACCCGCCACTGTCACGCTGTCCTCAGGCGTTGGCTCGTCCCCGGGCTTCTTTAATTCTCCGCGGGGAGCGCTGGCAGTCAGCTCCGGTGTTCCGCGCCTGCAACTGACTCCACCGGCCAGGCTCCCTCCCAGCAGCCACGTGCGCGCCCCGCTCCTCTCCGCCGCCGGCCAGCGATTAGGAGTGACGTCACCTGCCAACTGCAGGTGACTTAAGGCGTCGTCCAGGCCACGCGCGAGCTTCTCCGGCCGTCCCTGCTCTTCCTCACATCCTGCGGTGAGTAAGTTATTTTTTTTTTTTCTTTTTTCTCCGTTCCGCCCCCTGCCTCTGGCTCTGGGGCTCCCTCCATGGGCTCGGGAGTCTCCCCAGTCTTTCTCCGCCTGTGACAGTTGGGAAAAAAATTTCTAACTATTTAAGTTGGTCTAATAAAAGATATCAGATTCACCCAAAGAACCTTGTCTGCCTGTGTCCTTAGGCCAACACAGCTACAACCTACATCATCTGTTTTCTCACATTTACTCTCTAGGGTGCCTTTGAAACACTTATAAACCTGCTGACCCAGGTGCGGGGAGACTAGTACAAAGAAATGGTTCTCTCTTTCTCCCTCATGGCTTTGTTCTGCTTCACAGGCTTAGTCATGCAGTTGTCATTTTGCTTAAAAGAACCCTTTCAGAATCAAATAGCAGACAAATCATATTTCCCTTTTTTCTCATGTTGCTAATATTATCTTAGATTATTAAAACTGGGAAACAAAATGAAAGCATGCACTTCCCTCATTCATGTAATATCTTTTTTGCACTGCACTTAGTTTCAACAATGGAAATGTTCATGAATGGTTTATTTTTGCTTTTGCTTATGGTTTTACTTCCTGGGTCTCAAATATAAGCCCAATTTTGTAGTATTTGAGTTATAAATATTGCATGAGAATGGTTAAATCTAAGCAAAAAAAATCTCTTCTTTTAAAATATGTATATGGGAAAATCTTATTAAAGTTTACTTTGTCTTTTAAAAAAACCTTAATTTGGGGTCTCAGTTATTTTGAGTGATCTCTTCAACTTTTATATCTAAATAAAGGGCTAAAATCTGTCTTTGATGTATATGCGTATGACTGGGTTGTACATATATCCCAGAACAAAATTCAGTTCCAGGAGATGGTAGCATAAGCAGTTTGTCTTATAAATATTAAAAAAGAGAACTCAAGAAAAAAAGTTGAAGTTAGAGATACTTATTGCTCATAATAAGCTTTGTTTATCATACCTCTCCCCAGTTTTTCCCTGCAAAATGTAGTGAATGATTTAATATATCTACCTTTTGAAATATTATCTGTTTCCAGAAAGTACACACTCTTCTATAATCGATTTGGAAAGTGTTATTCTTGCCAAAATTCAAGAGAAGGAGGAAGACCATTCAGAAGCTATATTAAAATCAGAGAAATTTCAGCAGGATTTATTTGTTATGGAAAGGATTCTAATGGAGAATGTTTTTCAGGCCAAACTTGCAGCTTACCGGCAACTTCCTGTTCTTATAGGTATTTTTCTCATTGGATAAGTCATTGTCAAAACGAATCTTTGCACATTATCAAAAACATCAAGTAAATGTTTCCTAAATCCAAACTATGGACAGAAAAACAAGCTCTTTTGGCAAAGAGGGCAGGAAGGGTTTGCAATTTAGATTGTTCAGTTCTAGCTCTATTTATCTAATACCCAGCAGAGCTGTATGATAGGGCTGAACAAGTGATTCTTGAGTTGCCTTTTCTCCTTCATTAACAGCAGCAAATGAAGACTTATTTACAAGTTTCTTAATATACTTGGTTCTTGAAACTCAAGATATAGATTCTATTTAAATATGCTCTTTTGGTTTTACATTTCTGCACCTGAATACAGGGCCTTTCAACCTTAAAATTCAGCCCAGATTATGAGTAAACATTTTAATCCTTTAATGGCTTTACAGTGTGTATGAAGAGGTCAGTTCACTGCAGACCACAGGTTGCACTATTTGGAATCATTGTGTGGAATCTTAACAGAAAAGCCAAGGACTAAGTGGGCTAGGAGACTGGACTACCCCCATGTCCAGTAAGGGAGGTCTAATTAAAAGAGGAAAGAAAATATTTATGGTGTAAGGAAGCCGCCTTTATTGTAGCTGTTCATTGCATAAATATTCTTAGATGAGGTCAACCCAATATTCTTTGCAAGCAACACATTAATTTTTCAGACACATACATAACTTTTAAAGGTAGTATCAATAGAACTTTCAGTCTTAATTTTTGACTCATTTATATCCAAGTCACAAAAGTCCAATCTTGCAACCTCTATGGTACACAGTCCCTGCATTGAATTTGCTTTTGTTCGATACTTCAAAAGGAGGGAAATAGTTTCAGGGGAAGATTTCTAAAGCTCAAACAGGAGCTAGATCTCCAATCCCTATTGAAAATCTAGACTGTATGCATGTTAGTTGATAGGAATAACTTGATATCCTTTGCCAGCTGACAGAAGTTGTGAACTGTTGAGAAACAAAAGACTACATAACCAATTAAGTAAAAATATAATTTACACTTATTTTTGATAGATGCAGTTTCATTTTAATTATATTACAATCACCTAGCAATTCTCCAACATGGATTCCTAAAGTTTGGCATCAAAACTGAAGAATTCCTTAACATTTCATAAAATTGGAAGTTGGAAGGAAACTTTGTTTCCCTGGGGAAAAGCTATTCTGTAGCTATCTATCAAGTTCTTAGAAGGCAGGGTAGATATATGCACCTTTATAGGAACACTTTGCAGGTAGTGTTCTGAGTTACAACAATCTTTGAGACCAAATATAAGTTCACTGTTGGTTCCAGGGGGCAGGGGAATCTAGCTACTGGCTGTGAGCCTGCAGCTGATTTCCCCTAGCAGCGGCCCCTTCTCCCTCTCAGCCTGTCCCTGTTTTCAGAATGGGAGGGGGGAAAGGGAGCAGAGTGAGCTCATTTTAGGGTTCCCCAACTGGCACTGGAGAGTGGGGTAAGTGCATTGGAGTGCCTGCACCTTGTTGCGGGGGGGAGCTCCAACATACCCCCCCCCCCCTCCAGCAGGGGCTGAAAAAACCCCAGACTGAGCTCCCTCTGCTCCCTTCCCCACTCCCATTCTGAAAACAGCTCAGAGGTTGGCAAGCAGGGAGACACAAGTTACAGATGTTCTGTTTTGAAATGTCTTCACCTGAACCCTCATGCATTGAGGTTTCAGATTTTCACCTGATCAGCCATTTTAAACAGTCTGCAGCCATGCACTTGTGTTTGGTCAAAGCTATAGACTGCTTTCTGTGGCCAAATCAAGTGAAAATTGTCACTTCTGTCTGTGTCCTAGGTTTCTAGTGAGACTGAGCAGGACTGCAGATCTATGAAGTAAATATGATTGAGGTTCTTCTGGATGAATTTATTTTAGAACCAGCTCTTGCATCACATGTTGGTGAAAGTACAAGTGAAGTACAAGTAGTGGAAGCACCGGCAGAGGCAGAAGAGGAGGCGGAAGAGGAGGAAACAGAGAAAGAAATACTTTCTTCTGATCTTCCCACTTTAAGTAACGCATCATTTTTTCTGGATTCAAGTGAAGCTCCAGAAGAAGTCTTACCTCCCAGCTTGGAACGACTGTGGTCTTATACATGTGACCTGACTAGTGGGCACAATGTAAGCAGCATGGCTTGGAACAAACTAAATCCAGTAAGTTAACATATTCTTCTAAACTTTTGGGAGTATTGGATACATAATTGTCAAGATAAAAATACAAGCCCTGGGTTTCATATACTACGCTGGAGCAGGGCGTGAATGCAGGATGGATGTGTATCAGAAGATACCTAAGTGAGCTCAGGTACTAGACATAGTATAACTGCATTAGCACAGTGCTCTGCCAATGCTAATATACTCTGTTTCTCAGCTGGGTTAACTTGCCCAGAGTGCCGTGCTAACCTATTTATGCATCTTTCAATACTCAGGCTAACTCATTCAGGGTTAAGTCAAGTATATCAGCACAGCACTAGATTGTACAGTGTAAACCTATCCTAAGGCATAGGCTTTGTATTCACAGTTAACTGTAGGCAGGAAGATATTTAAAAATCTGGGCCAAAATTTTTACTTAAACTGAAGTATATTTACCAATCTGTGCTTTTGGTTTTTAGGATCTTTTGGCTGTTGGTTATGGACAATTTGGTTTTAAAGAACAGAAGAAAGGCTTGGCTTGCTGTTGGTCACTGAAGAACCCTATGGTAACACAGAGCTAAAAAGTAGTTCAATACAGTTGTTGTTACTTTTGTATATATTTGCTGTGATAATATTTGCCTTAATTAGTATAAGATTATTTAATTTCCTATTCCTGTTTGCCTGGTACAGTTAATTGTTTGTTGGCTTAGAGTATGTTCCTTCTGGAGAAGGGGTTTTGGTTATAGCCGTGTTGGTTTAAGGACAGGTGGGCAAGCTTCTTTGGGTAGATGTGATATCTTTTATTAGACCAACTGAGTAATTAGAAAAAAAGTTCTTTGCAAGTTTTCAGGCACAAGCACCCTCCTTCAGGCATAGGGAGTCTCTGCAGTTCTGAAATCTCTGCCCCTTTCCCGCTGCTCCCCACAGTCTTTACCTTACTGTAAGAGTATGCTACTTGGGCTTTGTTCTCTGCCAGGTCACGGAGTATGGCACTTGGAAGCACAGCCCTTGCTGAGCTATGCAGCAGCAGCACTGCTGATTGACTGGGCTGGAGACAGCGTTTCCCTGTACTCTGGGCCCAGGAGGGAATCCAGCCTGAGCTGGAGCAGAGCTGTGTTCTGACCGCCAGTGTGGGGTGGGTAGGGAAGTTACTGTGGGTCTGACTCTTGGCCTGACCCAGGCACAGGGCCAGAGTCAGAGCCACAGCCTGTTCCCCGGCTGCCCTCCCTCCCACTTTCAGTACATGAATCTAAGATGAGGGGATTTTTCTCCCATGCTGACTGGGGGGAAAAACCTTGTCTTAGACTTGAGTAAATATGGTAACTACTATAATTCTGATGACAGGATAATAAAAACCTTGGAAGCTAAGGTTCTGTACCTCTCAGGGCAGACAAAAAAGAACTAGTAATTCACGCTGCCCCATAGTACTTGGCAATGTGCATTAGATTTGATCTGGATGAGGTGCATGTAGAAGTAACTTTGTGCACATTCATCCTTTCTAGTGATGCTGCCAACAGAAGTGGTAATTGTGCTGGTTTTGTAATATAGACAGCTGTCCATGGGGAACTGAACTCATTTCCATAGACCACCAGATAGCTAACAGATGGTAAAAAACTGTCAGTTAATACCAGCTAAAGCTGGGCAACCTATCAGTGCGAAGCTCCATACCCCATTTCCAATCCCCAGGGCCTTCCTAGACAAGATTGTTATTACGTCAGGTAGGTCCAGGTCTATAGATCCTTTTATAAAGATTTTTCTACTATGGAAAACACTTAAACATGTCAAATGTAAAAACTAATTTCTTTATCTTTCATATTTTTCCGTTATTTTTCTCCCACATTTGTTAATTACTGAAGATATTGTATTTAAAATTTTGTGTTTCCCCTCCCTACTGCACTTTCCTTTCTGTAATTAAGTTATGCTTTGGCCTGTATTAAAAAAAACAATTATTTTAAATTCAGTTCCCAAAATGTGACTTTTTTGTAATATTTTAAAGAAACAACACATTTAATAGATAGTTTTCTTAAAATTTCTATTTGGAAAGTGAACATTGCCAAAATAAATGTTTTGAACTAAAAACATTTAGTAAAGTTTTAAACATTTAGTAAAGTAAAGTAATAAAGTTTAAACATTTAGTAAACTCTTCATTTACCATGAAGAGTAAGGGGTTTCTTTTATAACAGAATGATTTCCATTCAAATTGTAAACATTATCAATTTTTCTCAAAAAAAAATGTTCTAGAATCAAAAATAAAAAGCAATAGCTTCAAATTCTGGTGTTTAAAATATAGTTTTGAATATTTAATGCTGGCCAAAGTGAGGACATTAATTTTTATTACAGTAACTTGTATGATTTAAGCCAGTGATTCTCAACCTATTTGGACTTGAGGCACTCCTCTCTGGATTCAAGGCACCTCCATAACTTTCGTAAATTGAGTGGCACCCAGTTTCAAAAACTAATTTTTAGATTACAGTTCTTACTTTCTTGCAGAGAGAATGTGATTCTGCAGCCTAGCACTGTTTATGGAACTCACCTGAATGGCAGGAGTCTAGCCTGTTAAAAGAATTATTTCTGTTGGTTGTCAAAGGCCCCCTTCATAAAAAATCCAGAAACAGGCCTTGCAGCAGGGACCAGAACCCAGAACTCCCCCTTAGCTTTTATTTATACAAACAAACGAAGCTAAGGGGGGCTTGCATAAAAGTCACACATTCTAACGTGTGACATATATTTTAAGTCACATGTTTAAATACGCAGTAAAATGTGCTGAATAGTCACAATCAAATAATAGTGGTGTGCTTACATACTGTATTCAGGCTAAAACTCTAAATTAGAGTCCAGAATCAATCCTATAATTTGGGGTTCTTCTTTCCTCTAACACTTCTTTCCTCAACACAGTTGTTCTATTTATGATAGCATGAAATTAACAAATTCAGTAGATCACCAACAATCATATTACTTGCATGACTCCTACTGCTACAGTATTTGAATGCTTAACCTTGAAAATCAAGAGATGACGTGCATTGAAATACAATTATGTTCAGACAAATAACCACTTTATTTCTGATAACAAGGACTAAATGCAGTAAACTTTGGTAGAGTTGTGTCCATCTTACTCCAAGGCTAGAATTCGGTCCCACATAATCTACTTCTTTATCTATAAATCATGCTGAGTAAATTGCATGAACCTAGTAATTCATTGACTACTAAATTACTTTAGATTGCAGTTTACTTCCAACTAACTTTCTGTTAATTAGAAAAGAACATAACTTAAAAGCAGAGAGGTTTAAATAATTTTAAATTGTGAAGGGCAGAATTGGAGGAAAGTTTTGGTTGTGTAAAACCAAGAGTTTACATATAGAGGGGACTGGAAACTTACTTTATGCAAACATCCAGTTTTCCCAGAACACGAGCTCATAGATGTAATTCAATTTAGGCCCAATCTAACTTATAGTTTAAAAGTCAAATTTGTGCGTAGCTTTATTTTCAATTTTAATGTTCCATGATTGTCCAAACTTTTGAAATTGTAGGTAGTCTGGCACTTCAGTGAAGACATTAAATTAACATGTGCTATTTTTTCCTTCTGTGCAGTGGCCAGAGCGTATTTATCACTGTGATCATGGTGTTACTGCTTTGGATTTCTCTGTAGCAAACCCAAACCTTTTGGCAGTTGGAATGTACAATGGTACAGTTGCAATATTTAATGTACAGAGTCGGAATCCCACTGCAGTTATGGATAGTAGGTAAGACTGCAGACACCCCATCTTGGACCTCGTTTCTTCTCTTGTTTTCTTAGTTGTAGACATCCCTCTTCTTCTGCCCATTTGATGAGTGAATAATAGAACGCTTGAATAAACAGATTCAGTGAATACTCAGAAGTGCTGGACAATTTTACTCCAATCAGCTTTGTATCTCCAGAATGACTTGTAACATCTAAATAGTTGCAGTCCTGGAGTATTTCTTGAACAGATTCTACGGGTGTGGAGATTGTGGGGTGCTTTTTGACTCATGTAAATGGTCAGAAAGGACTAGGTTGGGCCATCCTTCACATACTTACCCTTTTGGCAATATCCACCCAGTACCATGCATGCTGCCATTAATTACTCTGTAGGATTATTAATATTAAGTGTTTATATTAAAGTAACATCCAAAGGCTGCTGTCAGAATGTGTGCCCCAATTTACTAGTTTCTTAACGAAGACAATCCCCGCCCTGAAGGGGTCAGGGTATAACACCTTGGCTTTTTAGACAATAATGTGGCTCTGTGATGGAAGGAAATAAGCCATGTACAGGTGCCCTGATCTAGGTTAATAGGAACTGTAGAGACAGTGATAGAGTAGAGATGATTAGGGAAATATCTGATCTGAACTCAACTGCCTAATTTGGGGCATAATCCTAGAAGGTGCTGACCAAAGTCAGTAGAAGTAGACATTGCTCAGCTTGTTTCAAAATATGTTCAGGACCTTACATGATCTAGCCCCTAACACATTTCCCACTTATTTCAGTGAAAGTAGATGGTTTTCAAAGAACACAGCATCAACACAACGATAGAGGCATCTAAAGGAAGGAACTTCAATCTTTAAGTGTCATTCTTCAATTCATGAAGAATTCATGAAAACACATTCTGGAATAGAAACAACTTTTCAAAACAATAGAACCATGTCTTTTTTCTCATTAAAATGAACCATTTACGAACATTAAAATAAGCATCTGACAAACAACTGAATGTTCCAAATATGTGCTCTTAAATGTTGCAGACACTGATGTCACTATAGTAAGAGCTTTTCCAGAGGTTTCTTATTGTTAACGTTAAGTTTATTGTGTGCATTCCTCTGTTTCAGTGAATCTTTAAATAAACATATAGGTCCTGTATGGCAGCTCAAGTGGATAGAACAGGACAGGGGTACAACCGGAGATGACAAAGGAGAGGTATTAATCTCCATCTGTGCAGATGGAAGAATAACCAAGTGGCTTATACGGAAAGGACTAGGCTGCACTGGTAAGTGCTCTTTGGGGGCGGGGTAGGGGTAGGGCGGGGAGGAGGGGGTTATATGGGGAAATAGTGTGTTTTCTCATATGCAACATGCATTTTCCCCCAAAAATCACCTCCTCCCCAACTTGAGGAATATGTCTTAAGTGGGAAAGTTGTTTCCTTCACTGGAAAAGAAGCACGCCTGGGGACACTGTGCATGCCATGCAGCTGCCCAGAGGGCTGCTACTTGTGTTAGGCTGGGTTAACCCTCTCACAGCTGAGCACCTGTAGCTTGTGCCTGAAGCAGGAAGTGAGTAGTTGGTAGTATCCTGATGAGGCCTGTGATGCAAAAACAACATTTTATTTACAGGAATTATACAAAGAAATACTTATAGTAAAGAACTAGCAGTCTTGCTACTGACCTTGCAAGAGTCTGTGGTCTAACCTTGTGTGACAGAGTAAGTCCTTCTGGGAAAAGAAAGTGTCCAGGAAATGTGGCATCCCAGGAGATGATTTGAGTGAGGCATCAGGAACTTGCTGTTTTACCAGGAAGTTCCTGCTGCCTGCTGTTGCCTTACCCAGACTATCTCCTGGGTTGCCACACTTCCTGGAAACTGTTTTTCCAGGAACACTTACTTCATGTCACACAGTTGGCTGTGACCCTCAGAAACACTTTTTTTTCTACATTCTGTCTTCCAAAGCAGGGTGCATGTTTTGTTTTGGGGTTTTTTTATTTGGCGGGGGGGGGGGAAGGGAGGGGATATTACATGAGAAAATATGGTAATGATTGCTTAAGTACTTTATATTGCAAATTTCTCCATGTAAAAAAGCCCTAGGTAAAACCTTTCAGAGTTGTTAAACATTCTAACTACTTGTGAATTATCCAGAACATTATAATATACTTGTATCTTTTTCATGAAAAACAATTTCATTTACTGTACATTTGAACAGATCTACTGAAACTAAAGCGAATAGGAAGTGAAAGAAAAAAAATAACAGGTGAAAAAGAAAAGAAAAGTGAAGCTTTGATATCTCGACAGGCTCCAGGAATGTGCTTTGACTTTCATCCAAAGGTAGGTTCAGGAATTGCATCATGGCTAAAGTTTTATCTAACAGAACTAAACATTATGGGCCAGATCTTCAACTGATATAAGAAGATCAGGCCTATACAAGCTTACACAAGGTGACAGTTTGACCTATGTATTCTAACAGCCACCATATGTTGTGATTATCTGTTTTCCTGACATATGAAAGAAAGAAGGTATCACTTTTACAGGCTCAATATATTTATTCATAAATAGACTGTTTCTTAGCTCAGCCTAGCCAAATAACTGTGCCTTTGATTTGTTTATGTTAAGAATTAATGTATTGACTCCTAATACCAATCCACATAAATTAGAGAGCTTGATTCCTGGTTTCCTTTGAGCTAAGCCCAACACAGGAACTCAGCTGCATGCCACTTTTACAGCTCCTGGATACTGAAGACCCAAGTTAGTCAGCTCCCCAAATTAGAGGAATGTCCACCTGTAAATGAATGAAAGTTTCAGAATGGAAGATGCGTGGCCTCAGCAGATTAATGTGTTTTGCCTTTACTCATTTAGCTGGAGCAGGGGTGGGCAGAATATATTCTGCAGGATGAATCCGGCCCATGGTGGGTATTTGTCTGGCCTGTGGCAGGTCCCTTGGTCCCCTGACCCAGGCACAGTCCAGCCATGGTGCATCCTGCTGCCCTTGGGCACACAGCAGGGCTGAGGCTGCTCCACAGCTGGACTGCTTTTCTAGGTAGCCCAGGTGGCAGGCAGCTCCTTTCAGCTGCCACCACCACAAGCCCCGGACCCATGCTGCACAGCCTCAACCTTGCACACCCCACCCCTGCTCCGGGCTCACCCATCCAGGCTCAGCAGCAGTAGCACAAGGCAGAAGCTGTTGCTCAGCATGGCGGTGGGGGGGAGTGGCCCTTCTTGCTCCTGCTGCCAGCAGTTCCCCGCTGCAGCTGCTTAGAGCCTACATGGGGTTGCCCTGTTTCTGCTTAGTGCTGTCACTGCTGCTCCACGGGGCAGCCTGGAGGAGGTGGTGACTTTGACGTAGATGCAGGACAGCCCTGTACGGGCTCCAGGTGGCTGCAGCAGGGAGCTACCGGCAGCGGGAGGGACCACTTTCCCCTCCATGCTGCACAGTCCTGACCCCATGCGCTCTGTGCCTGCTCCAGGCTCTCCCTTCCAGGCTCAGCAGCGGCAGCACGGGACCAAAGCTGTTTCTCAGTGCAGGTTAAAACCAGCCTCTCCTGCTGCTGGCAGCCCCCTGCTGCAGCCACCCAGAGTCCGTGCAGGGCTGCCCTGGGTCTCTGCTGCTGTCACCACTGCCTCTAGATTGCCCTGTGGGGCAGTGGTGGCAACACAGAGCAGACACAGAGCAGCCTTGCATGGGCTCTGGGTGGTTGCAGCAGGAACGGCTGGCAGCAGGAGGGTGATGGGCTGCTTTCTCCCCATGCTGAGCAATAGCTTTTGTCCCGTGCTGCTGCTGCTGAGCCTGGGCAGGTGAACCTGGAGCAGGTGCAGAGCGTGTGGGGTTGGGGCTGTGCAATGCGGGTCCCTGCCAGTACCATGGGGCGGCAGCAGACAGAAGGAGCCACCACCGCCGCCTGTGCTACCTAGACAGGTAGCAGGTAGTCCACCTGCAGAGCCACCCCAGCTGCACTACATGCCCAGGGTGTGGTAGGAAATGCCACAGGTGGGTGGCGTGGGGCAGGCTGGGTCAGAGCTGTGCCCGGTTCCAGCTGATCCACTCTAGCAGGGGTGAGTCTGGAGTGGGTTTGGGGTGCGCTGGGGATGCACACTGCTGGCAGTGGGGGGAGGCGCTGCAAGATGCAGAGGCTCTGAGCTGTTGTGGGGCAGGTGTTGACAGGCTCTGGGGGGACGCACACGCGGGGGATGTCCACCATACCCACAAACCCTACAACCATACCCTCCCCCACACACAGTCACACACCCCACAAACACTGCACCCACCCACACCTGAGGGCTCATGGCATGGTCTGTCTGTCAGAACTTAAAATCTGCAAATACTGCTAAATAGCTTGTCACAAGGGCATAAAAAAGGAACAGAAATGTCAAATGAGATGAATCCCAATGTAGGTTATTTGTATTTTTGTTTCAGGATACTAATATATATCTGGCTGGAACTGAAGAAGGGCATATACACAAATGTTCTTGTTCATACAATGAGCAGTTCCTAGAGACTTACAGAGCACATAAGGTGGGTAGTTTACACAGAAAAAGTTGCTGGGTCAGCTACATCAGAAACAATATTTGATTACACTGAACAAGTTTAATTATTTCACATCTTATATTCATCAGATAACATATTGAAACATGGATATTAAAACCAAAGCTGCTTTTCATAGGCTAACAACAAGCTACAAGGTATAAAGCATTCAAAACTCCTTTGGGTATTACCTTCTTCAATATACAGATTATTTAAGAATTGCTAATCATGGACCATTTATTGGACCAACTGTATAGTATTATTGTTAACCCTGGCAGACCCAAGATATCCAACGCTGGTACTCTTGCTGAAGTGCTACCAAGATTAATACATTGCATTACTGTACATTTGATCCAACAAAAGATATCACATACTCAATTCCTTATCTCATATTTTTTTCTGGAACATTATGGCTACATCACTCCAACACTAGCTGTAAAATGTTTAACAATACAATAAGTTTGCATATCTACTTTATGTCTCATCCAACAGATTGCAGTATTAGCAGCAGTTTCTTCTAACATCACTGAATCAAAAGTGACTCAAAGGGAAAAGTAAAATCACTACCGAATCATCAGTATCACCCGAATACTTTTTGCTCCTAAAAATATAGAGCCCTTCTCTAGTTTTTGCTATGCTTATGCATGTGTGCATGTGTGTGTACGTGCATGCAAAAGAGGTAGAGAATATAAACTTTAACTAATGATCATTAAAAACAGAAGGCAATTAAGTACCTAACTCTTGAGGAAAGTCAGTGAATTTTGAGTGCCAAACTTCATTAGACTTCTTTAACCTAGCTTGAAAGTATAAGTTCTGGAATAATTCACAATCCTTTTCTTTCCCCACCTTTTCTTCAATGTGAAGGGTCCTGTGTACAAGATTGCATGGAATCCATTCAGCACTGACATGTTTTTAAGCTGTTCTGCAGACTGGAGTATTATTTTATGGTGCCAAGATTCACTTAAGCCACATTTAACTTTCAGCTCCACCACTACTGTGGTTCATGACATTATGTGGTCTCCCAAATCAGCCTTTATTTTTGCAGCGGTGAATGAAAGTAGAGTGGAAATTTGGGACCTTAGTGTCAGCACGTAAGTAATAATTCTTCTCGAGGAGGGTTCTGACATAATAGAAGTACAGTATTGTTATCATTAAATATTTTTAGTATGTTTGGCTGTTTACAGACATAAAAAACCTCCAAAACGGCACTTAAAACTGCGTGCCCCTGTGCTGAGCCCAGCACATGCCCAGAAGAGGCATCATGTTAGTTGGACCCAGCTCATCCAATGGCTGTATAGATTGGGCGCTTTAGTGGGGCTTTTTTGGTGTTTTTATCCAATAGCTGATTGAATCAGCTATTAGAGAAAAGTGTGAAAAAGTCTCGCTGAATCGCCTGAACTATACAGATGCTGCGGAGCCAGGCTGAACTAGAACGCTGTTTCTTCCGGTAAAGCATGATTTTTTTAATCCACATCTGTCAGCACCCATAGTGCCTGAAGGATCCAATTAGTACTAATACCTGATGATTATAATTGCAAAGCATATATTTATTTGCATATAACTTTATACTGCATCCTAACACATCGGCTAGCTACAATAAAGTGTATATCAGAGCACCTTTTAATAAAAGGGTTAGTGACTGGATGGCTTAGGGAATTGATAATTGTACAGATCCTTTTCTGCTACAAGTCATAGATGCTATCATTTTCATGGATTTTTTAAAATATTCTTGAGCTTAAATATGTTGAGAGTTTTACAGATAAGACACCAGATGCAAAGGCTAGTCCCCCTTCAGTTCATCGCACTGATGCAAATTGGGTTTAAAGTTGTCACAATACAGTTTTTTGTTCACATATACTTGTGGTAGTACTGCAAACCTGATCTTCCCAGTGTAAATGCCTACAACTAGTGTAAAGCAGTGGAGAATTAGGCCCTGTATAGTGTTTTGCTAAAACTCAAATTATTTGTATTACAAGAAAGTAAAAATTAGACAGTAGAACAGATAATATTTTAGGTAACCAGGGTATCTGGGCTGGTATGAACGCCTCATGCCTCCTGAGGCTGCAGGGGGCGGCAACTGCCCACAGGCGGCGGTGATGGTGTCAGCAGCAGGGGCATGGTGGTGGTGAGGGCAGGCGGAGCGGGGACCACCCGCAGGCAGCTGCGTTGGGGGGGGATGGCGGGCACCGAGCAGCAATTGGCGACCGCTGGCAGTTTCAGCAGCAGCCAATCTCAGGGCGGGCATGTGCACCCCCTATGTGTCACCAATGTTGCCTGGTAAGGGTTGAGAACTGGCAAAACGCACTATCATTATTACTTGGAGTTTTAGAGTTTTGTTCATCCAGAGTAGGGGTGCTCAACCCCTGGCCTGCAGGCCAGATCCAGGCCCTGGCACTGTCATCCAGCCCCAAAGATCTGTGGGGAGTCCTGCGGGCTGTGGCGCACAGATTGGGCTCACAGAGCAGCTCAGGGCTCAATCCTGGTGCGTGGAGGCTGGGCGGGGGCAGCAGGAGGCCTATGGAGCCTGATCCTGGCTGAGCTGGGCAGTATAGCTTCTGCACTACTTCCACCCAGCTGAGATCATGCCCTGGGACCTACACTGCCTCCACCTGGCCCCATGATTGGGCCCCAAAACCTGAGGGCCCAATGCCAGGACTTGGGGGAAGCATGGGGCGTGCTCGACCCATGGATGAGCCCTGTGCCATTCAGCTGGCCCAGAGTATAAGCACACTGATCCAGAGCATAAAAGTAGAAGGTACTGCAGTACTTTATTTATGTTTAGACTACTGCTATAATTATGTTCTGTGATGTTAGGAAAATGTCTTTTTGTTTCAGTTCTAGTAGATATCAACATAATTTCATTCTCTGTTTGCAGTTTGGACCCCTTAATCATTAGTTATGCCAATCCAGGGGTGAAATTCACAACTTTACTTTTTGCTAAAAACACAGACTGCCTTCTAATAGGGGACAGTACGGGACAAGTCAGTGTGTATGAGTTAAGAAATCTGACGGCTTCAGATTATAACAAGGTATGACTCACAGGTGCCCACATGTTTATTTGGCTACCTTTCTTCAGAAAAATGTTTCTCCTAAAGAATTAAGAGTAAGGAAGATGTAAATAACAAAAGATGTTAATGTATACATGAGTTAATTTCTGAGTGGGCTCCTGGTCTTATTCATGCATAAACACTAGGATTTTCATGAACCAGAACATGAGGTCAACTTCAGGCCTTGTAGTCTACTTGCTTGAAAAACTGTGGCCAGAAGATGAACTGTTCGGTGTAGCTTTTGCACCATGTTCCAAAAGCTGCAGAATGTGCTTATACTCTTCAGGTTCTCTATAGGTCCGGTTAGAGAAGCAGCATTCAGGGTGGAGGCAGGAATCATATTTGATCACACCAACTGCTGCTCAGCTACCCCCGCTAGATTGAGACACAATTGTGTCTCAAGCATGACTCCATGTCTAGCTGACAGTGCAGGGAGTGTTTGCCCACTCCTGGCCAGGCAGAATATAGGTTCACACTAATGCTGTCCTTTTCTTTCCTACAAACTTGTTGCACCTGTAGATCTCATTTCATACCTACCTACTGATAGCCAGCACAGATCTGTGCTAAATTACCCTCAGGCTCCTCTGTGGTAAAGGGATATGCTGATTAAATCAAACGGTCCTGCCTACCTTTTCTAATTTCCAGAATTCTGCCAGCATCTGGGTATTCCAGTAACTTTCAGTATTCACATTATGGCATAGTCTGCACATGAACTGACAAACACATTATCTAGTTCCGTGCTCTATATGTGGTAAAAGCATTCAGCTCTGTCATTGCCTCTGCCACTCTGGACAAGTCACACTTTCTCTGTGCCACAGTTTCCCAATTTGTAAAACAGCATGAATAGTGCCCGTGGTAAAGCCCATGAAGTTCTGGTGTACAAAAGTAATTTTGAGGAAAAGAGAAGCCTAAAGGTGAATAAGAATATTTGACCTGAAGGATTAAACAATACTAACTTATTATTATTGAATTTACCCAAATCCAAGATGACTTTGACTTTATGCCTGCCCAATAACTAGATTTTGGACACAGAAAATTTACACATTTTACATGATTTTCCCTGTCTAGAATCTAATTATTGGAGGCTTGTCTTAAATTTGTTCTCCTCACGACTGCAGCAGAGAAAGCAGAAGCAAGGGAGCAGGTGCGGGGGGGGCAGGTCAAGTAGTCTACCCCTGCCACCTGTCCCCCCACCCCTCACTGCCCACCCTGCTTTCCCATGGTATCTGTACCCGTTGGCACCCGCCCATCCCAACCCTGCCCCCACCATGGTGTCTATGCCTCCCCCGGAATCTCACCCTCTACCATTCGTCCCTCCTTCCACCCAACCCCCATGGTAGTGCCTGTTCCCCCCAGCGCCTGCCCCCCATGTCACCTGCCACAGCTAACTTTCCTTTCATAACTCCAGCTCTGGTCTGGGGCATGGAGCACAGAGCACATACTGGCTCCAGTCCCTGTCCAGCCACATAGCAGCAGTTGCAGTGGTAGCAGATCTGGCCCCCATCCTGGCCGTGGAACCATGGTTGGAGCTACAACAATTCACTGCTGCTATTACATAGCTGGACAAGGGCCAGAGCCAACATACAATCTGTGCTCCATGCCCTGGGCCAGAGCTGGAGCTGCAACAGGAAGGTAAGCAGTGGCAGGGGGATAGGCAGCAGCAGCAAGGGTGGGTGGCAACAGGGAGCAGAGGATGCACAGGGCAGGTGGCAGGAGGAGCAGCAGCTCCAACTCTGTCCTTGAGCACATGGAGGACAGAGTACATGCTGGCTCTGGGTTAGAGTCAAAACTGTAGGCACTGCTTTCCTGTCTTGTACTTGAATCCAAGACAAGGGGCATTTCCCCCATGTTGAATGTGGGGGAACCTCTTCTTGGATTTGAGTAAATATAGTATTACTGTCAAACCCCTTGTGGTAGGTGCTGCACAAACATGGAAGAAAAAACAAGTGCTTGCCTCAAAGAGCTTAGAAGCCAAATAATTGTTATTGTACTTTGAAAAAAATTATTAAGCTTTTTACTACAAGCTATCCCTGTAATGGCATAAGATTTCTCTGAAGTCTAAATATTTTAAGCATAGATAGTTCGCAGTAAGTTGGAAACGAAAGAAAGGCCAAGGACTGAGATTCAAGAGATCTGTGTTTGGTTACCAGAGATTTCCTGTGTAATGAGCCTCTGTGCCTCAGATTCCAGCTTTTGATAAAGCTTTCTCATATTCATTATCTTGTCTACATTTTGGGTGTGGATACACCCTTTAACTTTAACCATGGAAGAATGAGCTTTAAAGTTGTTTTCAGAGTTGTTTTGCTGCATTTGAATCATTCTTAGCTTGTTCACACAACAGTTAAAATGTAGGAACTGCTGCCCTTTTGAAATTTCCCCTCTTGAAAGCGCCCCAAGTCTTCATGTGTCCACACCTCTCGTATTAGTTTGTTGGGTAAGCAACAGTTTCTTTTTAAGTTTGTTTCGGTACAGTGCCTAGCACACTAGAGACCTACTATCTGTAATATATATGTTACTAATGTTAAAGTGAAAAGTCAACATTTACCAGGCCATAGCATTTTTAAGCATAGTTACTCAACATATAGTATCCTGAAGATTAATCTCCTTTATAAATAAGGTTATTAAAGGTATAAGTGGGCACCTGGAAGTATGATGTAGCAAATGCATTCCACACAGTCCTACCTGTCCTGAAATCCTATTTCAGCTATTTCTGAAAGGTGTTCTTTAGGTAACAGTAAAATCTAAAAGGACACAGCCAATACCATACTAGCTTAGCTATTTTTTCTCTTTATTTCTATTATGTAGATAATAGACATCACTTATATACGTTTGTAAATGGGGCTTTTTAGAGCATTTCATTCATTAAAAACACAATTATAATGCAATACCATATGTTATTTTTTCTCTTTTACAGGGGGAAGCTTTTCATGATATTATTAGCTCTGCTTTAGCTAATGGCTACTGAGGATACCTCTCGGCTGGTTGTAAAGGAAAAGGCTATAAATAATGTTATGTGTTTCCGTAGATCCCAAAGCCTCCCATTTAATATTGCATCAGGAAAAAATATCTTTAAATGTAATATTACTTAAAATACAGGCTAATGATTTTTCTGTCATTAAAATGTATCTGTCAATTCACAGTGGTTAGAAATCTTTTTGAAATAGCCTGTAATACCATGAATTTTCCTCAGAAAATCCCCATCATTATATTCCAATCAAGTATAGGTTAAATCTCTGGTATGTTCTTCTGTACTATTGCACAGGAAAATAAACTGCCTTATCACTTCCATAGTTCCCTACAGTTTTTGGAAATCCCATATCAAGTAAAGGCAATAATCTCCTAAGGCTGGAAATTAAGTTTTTGAATAAAAATGTTTCCAAGCTTGTACAGATGTGCTTCTGCTTCATTTTTCTTCAGTTCCATTGGATATCTCATTATGCTTAAAGTAGTCAATAAAATTCTTCTTTACTTCTTTCAAAATTAGAAATGTATAATTTAGTAGAAAGTATAAAAGAAAGTACAACTTTACGCTATTAGACATGTTCATGAATTAATGAAATAGGTTGTTTTTACTTTTGTGCGCCACGACTTCCGGTAGTAAAGATGAAGCTGCACCAGAAGCTGTATCTACATTATAAACCTACCATGATTATAGCACTGCTGAGTGACAATGCCAGTAAGCCCACTCCCATCCTGATTAGCCTTGCCCTTAGCCTTGCATGGATACACCTATGCAACTTCCAGTCAGGGAGGCAGGCTGCATGGAGGAGTGTGGCATGCTTGAGCACAGCTGTTAGACCCAGGCAGTCTGCCACCACATAGACTTGACCTGTACCACACAAGTGTTGGGTTTTGTTTTGGGTTTTGGTTTTTTTGGTTTTTTTTTTTTTGTTTTTTTTTGGGGGGGGGGGGGGGGGGGGGGCAGGATTTGCATGTTGGCCTGTTAAAATGTTGAAAATGGAAAGCATCCATATTGTTGGCTTGAAAACAAAAGTTCAGGTTATATCAGAATGGCTCAGAAAGAGTAATAAATAAAGTTACTATGCAGACAAAAGAAACTCAAGTTTTTAAAGGAAAAACGTGGCTTATAAGCATCTCAACCCAATTTTCTTCCATAACTAGGTGATTATTTTTATCAGTGGAGGGAAAACATTAGATATGATATACCTCAACTTTAGCAAGAATTTTTACACTGTTTCCCACAGTACTCTCATGAGCAAACTAAGGAAGTGTAGTCTAGATCAGTGGTTCTCAACCTGTAACCTGCGGGCTGCTTGTGACCCAATCAGCGCACTGCCATAGCCAACGTAACATCCTGTTAAAAAAAAGTAAAGACGTGTGACAGTGTAGAAATGAGAAGTATTACAGAATATTTTTTTGTCTTGCATTACTGTCAGATAACAAATACAAAGCATTTTTAAATGGATACATAGGAAGTAAGTTGTGTGCATGCGGCTCACATAACACACTGAGAGGTGCAGGTGTGGCCCACTATGGCAAATAGGTTGAGAACCACTGGTCTAGATGAAAAGGCAGGTGCTTACCTGGTTAGATAATCAAGCTCAGAGTGGTCATCAATGGTTCACTGTCAGACTGGGAGGGGATGTGAAGTGGAGTTCCCCAGCAGGCGTCCTGGTGCCAGAGATTCCCGGAGGCGGGTGCACGCTTGGAACTTCTCTGGCCTTGTCTGGTCTCTCTGAGAGTGTGCCCTGGGTTGGCTTCAAGGTTAGGGGGGAGCCCTGCCTCCTTCCCATCCTGATACCATGGTCTTTTGGTTCTTGAACCTCCATGGGGGTTTTTTGTGGCCTTGCCTTGGGGAAACTAATTTCCAGGTCAGTTCCTGAGAAAGAGATTTTACCTCTTGATAAGTGAGAGGTGTAGCCCGAAGTTCCAAGCAGCAAAACAGCTGGCTCCTCTTCAGTACAGGCATTTATTGGAGAAAGGCCACTCAGACAGACGTTCTCACCCCCACTCCAAAGTGTTGAGCGGTCCTTCTGTCCCCACTCCAGCCCACATAGCTCTGAGAGCCCAAGTCACTTAGCTGTCTACAGTTCACCCCAAAACAGCTTGGCTGGTCTGTCTCTTCAGACTGTCTCCTGATCTCAGGTCGTCATGCTGTTTCCTTCCTGCTTTGTTAATTGTCATGCTTATCTGGAAGCCTCCTGGGTGTTGCCTCTCATCCCCACCTTGTTAATTTGTCAACAAAGTTATTCAGGCTCTGTTGGTGCAAAAATCCTTGTCTTGTCTTGTCCCCCAGGTCTACAGCTCTACTACTTAACAAGGACACCTTTAACCAGGAGTGTCTGATTATTTTGGCTGGAGGATTTGGGGGAGCTGTTGCAGGCTGGAGGTGGGGAGGTGCTGACCTGGCCTGACACAGTGGAGTGGGGAGGGGGACAATTGATATTGTCTGGCCTGGGCCCATCTACCCCGCACCCATTGCAGAGGGTGCTGGATGGAGCGGGAGGGCAGGGTTCTGTAGAGACCAGCCCAGATATCCCAGGCAGGGCAAGTTTGGCTGGGTGGATGGGATGGAGCTGCAGGCAGGCAGGGAGCAGCACCCGGAAGTGGAACCAGCGGGTGGGGCCCAGGGCTGGGATTACAGGGCAGTGACAGTGCAAGACGGGGGCCTGGGGCAGAGCTATGATCCTCGTTGCAGATCAAGGGTGGTGCAGTAAATGGATTAGGGCTCTGCCCTGGGTCCTGGCCCCACAGTCACCATCCAGCAATCCTGGCCCTGGCCTCTGCCCACCCATCCCATTCCTGGATGTGGCTCCCCAGTTGCCTGGCCAAGTGTGCCCTGCCCACAGGGACCCTGCCCACCTGCTCCATCCAGCACCCCCCTCAGTGGATGCAGGGCAGATGGGCCAGGGTTGCCCAGGCAGCAGGCCTGGGTCCAGTGATGGTGGACAAACTAGTGGTAGCAGCATAGGCAGAGGGAGAAAATTTGGGGGGGGGCAGGGCAGGGCAGGGCTGAGCACACGTGCATGTGCGCACATGCCCCCTCAGCGGGAAAGTGTGGGGCAGGGGGAAAGGAAGTGGGGCTGGGGCTGGGCAGGGATTTGGGAGAGAGCAGAGCAGAGCTGGGCCCAGAATCGGGATCAGGGATGGGGCCTGCTGCATCTGTGTGGCTGCAGCTTCCCCATGCCCGGGATCATTGCCTGGCGCCAGCGCCCCCTGCACCAACAAATCCAGCACCCCTCAGGCCTGCACCAGCCCTGGCTGCCCTTACACACCAGCCCCATTCCCAGCCCTGCACCGCTTGGGGGGGAGCTGGAGTGGGGCCGGCCTTGATTGCACCACCAGGCCAGAGGGGACAGAGCCCCTGGGACCCCAGCGCCCACCCTGCCCTGAGTCAGAAGAGTCCAGCACAGCTCTGGCCCCAGCTTACAGTGGCAGCCTGTCCTGCCCCATGCAGATCTGCAGGCTCATGCCCCCATGCCACCCAGGGTGCGCATAGCAGGACGAGCATGGCTGGACGATCCGCTCATGGCTCAGTCTCATGCCCCACCAGCTGTGCAGTGCCTTCCCCTCCCCTAGCCCCAGCCTCACTCCCTCCCCACCCTTGCTTCAGCTACCGGAAGCCCTCAACCAGGCTGTCTTGTGGCCCTACCGCTGCCCTGCATTGGGGGGAGGGAAGGGGGGGTGCTAAGCTCCATTAGCCACCCCCACTTCCACCACCTGTGGGTGGCAGCCAGAAGGAACTGCTGCCGGGGCTGCTGGGAAGTGAGGTCCAGCTGCTGCACCGCCCCTGCCCTGCTGTGCACCTGGGGGCAGCGGAACCAGCACCATGTGCCATGGCCCAGGCTGCCTCTACACCTGGGTCAGTTATATTCCCTTAGTGGGCCAGATCTGGCCTGCGGGCTGTATTTATCCCACCCCTGCCATTAATCCTTTTTTCCCTGTTTCCTTTTTTCCACTTCTTTAAGAGAAGCCAAAACGCACAATATTATAATAAGATGAACACATTTAAAATAGAAATATCATAAAACTCTGTCACATGGTCTGTCACACCCAGGCCCAGTACTCTTTAATATTTTCATTAATGACTGGGAGGATGGAATTGGAGTGCTACCTTGATGGATGGCACCAAGCTGGGTGGCATAGCCAGGACTATCAGGATTGGGATTCAGAATGACCTTGCTAAAGTAGAAAAATGGTCTCAAATAGAAGAAATTCAGTAAGTGCCAATCCTGCTCTTAAGATGGAACAATCAAATACCCAAAAATAGACCATGGAGCAACTGGCTAGGCTGCACTACTGCTGAAAAGAAACTGGAAGTTATGGAAAGCTAAATGAGTCAGTAGTGTAGTATTAGTGCTGAAAAAACAATACCTTACTGGAATGTATTAATAAGACTTGTATTTAAATAATAGGAGACAATTATTACACTTTTTGCAGCACTAGGGAATCATAATGTCCAGTTTTGGAGACCACAGTTCAAGAAAGAAATGGGAAATTGGAAAGAGTCCAGAAGAGAGCAACAAAATACTTAGCAGTTTAGAAGACATTACATACAGAAAGGTTGTTATGAACAGGGAACAGATCAACTCTTCTCTGTGCCCAGTGGGACCAGGACAAGAAGTAATGATCTTGCCTAGCAATAAGAGAAGCTCAGATCAGATATTAGGAAGACCTTTCAAACTATGAGGGTGGTCAAGCATTGGAGCACAGTACCTGGGAAAGTTGTGCAATCTACATCATTGAAAGTTTTTAAATTTAGGTTAGACAAACACTTGCCTGGGATGAATGGTCTTGCCTTGAGCAAGGAATTGGATTAGATGACCTCCTGATATTCCTTCCTGACCTATTTTAATATTATTATATAATTCTATATTCATTGTAGAATTATATATTATATGATATAAAGAATAAAGGATATATTATTTATTCTATAGAGAAGTATATGTAAATTATTAATTATATAATTATATATTTATATAATTGAATACACACATACATATATATGATCTATATTAATATTATACATGTATAATATTATACATTATATTAATTAAAATGCTGTTAGCACAGGGCAATATTAAGGACCAACAATAAACATGGGCATATATCCAGACCTTATCGTAAACACCACACTCCAACACTGCATTATCTTTATATGTAAAATGTCATACTTGCAGGCAAAACTAGTGATCCTATAAGCAACTTTAATACAACTGAAAAGCAGTCTAATTACTACTATAATGTTGGAAATGCTTCCATACCTCTTTTCTTGTAACTATTCTAACCAGAATCTGCTTCTGAAACATCATCTTCTTTTTTTGAACTTTCCATATGATCTTCAGGGTTGTTGGTTGTAGCCATGTTGGTCTAAGGACATAGGCCAATGCTTTGCTTTTTCACAGACCTGCATTTTGCATATTGGC